ATATTTATCTATTACTTAGATTTTTACATGGGTCTTTCTAGAATATAATTCTAGAAAATGCTAGACTTTGTTGGGCCTTTGAATTGGGCCTATGAGCAAAATTCTTAAACTCATATTACTTACTCCAAAATCAAGTTTACTTTCCAACATTGGATTTAGAAAAATGGAACTCTGTCAAATTTGATAGTAATTGTTTCTATGCGTAATTTTTCCTTCACAGTGGGAATTTTTTAATCTGAGGTAGTAGCTGGAAGTACAGTTAGGTATGTGTTATGTTCTGTATGATTTCAGTTAAACCGGAGGAATTGAAAGGAGAAAAATGTACCTTTTCTGGTATTTTGTCAAAAACATGGAATATAATCAGCTAGAGTACCCATGGATTATTGACATACTTTATTTCCTTCTTGTAATAGAGGTAGTTAAATGAACAATGTGCTTGGTTTTTATCATATTAGATGCAAAATCGAGATTGGTTTGTAGCTAATGTGAAATCTGACCAAGTGATCATTACTCAAATAGCTGTCTTTTAACATCTCTGTATATAAGTTCTTACTTATTGGGAAGATGTGCTAATAGAGTGTTTCTGCAGGAGGAAATTCATGAATTGCTTTTGAGCTTTGCTGAAGTTGGGGCGAATGTAGTGAGGCTGAAAGGCGGGGATCCATTGGTGAGTTTTGATGTTTTTACATGTCCAAATTTTATAAGCATGTAGATGTGATCAATTGAAATATTGTAGTTTTTTTAATAGAAAATTTCATCAATTCATGGAAGAGTTGAGTAGAGTAGAGTTCCATAATGCTGTTGTTATGAATTAGATCGTGGAAATTACTGATTTTGGTTCATCAGGTATTTGGAAGGGGTGGAGAGGAGATGGACTTTCTGCAACAACAAGGAATTGAAGTTAAAGTCATTCCGGGTATGGTGATTATGAAAATAAGCTCACAAGCTTTACAACTTTGGGCTGCATTTTTGAAAAATGAATTAAAAAGATTCACAATATCTGAAGTGTTCTTTCTTGTTTTTATTTGTTATTTTTCCTTCTCGAGTCTGAAGTGTTCTTACTTTTTTTCAATTTGCACTCAGTAGAATTATATTTCACAATAGCTACCATAGAGGATGCTGGCTTCCCCTTTTCTTAATTTTCTAGGTTTTCCTTCTGCTTTAAAGGATTCCCTTTTGTTTCACACTCAGAGTTCACATGCAGTTATTAGCCTACTTGAAAGGAGAACAGAGTTAGCCCATTTCTGGCTCATGTTTATAATTTTTCAAGCCATTTTTTATCCACATATTTCGAGGGACCGACGAGTACTATCCACTTATGCCTCACTCATTTCAATCTATTTAGTTTCTCTGACCATATGTTGGCTCTAGTTTTTGCCAAGTTTGTTTATATCTATATCTTTTTATTTTTTCATGTTAAAAATGAAAAACAAGAGAGAAATACTTCAATTTCCTGAACAAATTAATTTTGCACTTATCCTTCATACCAGACTACTTTGAGTAGGTATGCACATTTTTTCCAAAGCTACTACTATTTCCCAGGTTCCTCCCGATATGGATAAGATGGACATACTGGCCAGTGTAATGCACGACTTCTACTCTCATATGTTTTAGCAGATCTCTGCAAATTGGAGCTTGTTGCGGTTGCCTCTTATATAATAGAACAAGTTTTCTTTCGACAAAACGAAATCCTGATGTCAACTGCATTTAATATCACCTTAAAGGAGTTCATTCTGAGTAATAAATGCGTATATGTGGCAGGTATAACAGCTGCCTCTGGAATAGCTGCAGAACTGGGGATTCCATTGACGCAGCGTGGTGTTGCAAATAGTGTTAGGTTTCTCACAGGCCACTCAAGAAATGGTGGGACAGATCCTCTATTTGTAGCAGAGAATGCAGCAGATCCCGATTCCACTCTGGTTGTTTATATGGGCTTGTCAACTCTCCCTTCTCTTGCCTCAAAATTGATGCATCATGGATTGCCACAAGATACAGCAGCAGTGGCTGTTGAACGAGGAACAACTCCTCAACAACGCACGGTGAGATACTTTTACACGTTTTTCTTCTTTGTTAATAGTTTTGGCTAGGCAACCCAGTTCTTACTCAGACTAGGCCATGCAATTTTAATGTTGTTATATGAAATGCAAGAATGTGATATTATTATAAATCGCAAGATTTGTTATCTATAAACTGGATTATTTCAATCTCAAGGCCCCAACTACAAATATTTTCTTTTGGGACAAGTGCAAGTCCCAACAACTGACATTCCTATTTTCAAGTCTTACTTCACAAGATCATATATACTGAACTTTGAACGACTAAAGGAAAACGTAGAAGAAGAATTAAAAGGACGGTATTTTTGCTTTGCACAATAAATAGAATCATTTACTCATTTATATCTACATCAACATATTCTGATCTCCTGTAAATAAGTGGTGAAAACTGCAGTTGCAGCTTTTTGAAAGTGCATTTTGTTCCACATTTTGATTTTAAAAAATTCACCATTCTAGTACAATGTGATGTTGTAGGAATTTTCTTGTTGACTTTATTCCACCTCTGCCAGTTTCATTTTTCAATAATACCAGTTGTCCCACAGAATTACTATCTGAAGCTTTCAACCTTGTCCACCTAAAAATATTTTTGTTTCCCACCATTGTGGCTCTAGTGTTTCACTGTATTGTTTCCATTCCTTTGTTGTCAGATATACAGTTTTCCGCATTTAACTTGTAATTTTGGCCAAATAATAAATGATTGAAGTTTATTTGCATTCATTTAGGTGTTTGCTGAACTGAAGGACCTTGCTGATGAAATCGCGCTAAATCAGCTGGTATCACCAACTCTAATCATCATTGGGAGAGTCGTTGCTTTGTCTCCATTATGGCATCATGTAAAGAAAGAGACTTCTGTTCTGATGGAGGCCAATTAGTCAATTGGTTGATGGCAACTGTGCCGTTACTTTTGTATGTTTGATCTTTGGCCTTTAGATATTTACGCTGGAGCAAATCTCATTGACTGGTTGAGAAGGGTATTCAACATAGTGGAGTAACTGGCACTTGAGGATCTGTGCCGGATTTGGATCAAGAATGGTTTAGATGGATTGAGTCCAGTGTGCAGGTTTTAATTTATGGCAATGCCAGTATGCGAGAGAGAATCTCTAATGATGAGTGGCTGGTACTTTTGTAATTTGAAGAATTTATCACATCTTCGACTGTCAGCTGAAAATTGCCAAATTTTTTGAAAGTTACTCTGCTCTCCCAGATCAGCCTGAAATTTGCATATTTGTTCATCTTAGTTGCCAAATTTTGGCAGAATATGGTAATTTTTGTTATTATTCTTCGAATAGATGCAATAAAATTTTGTAAAAGTGAGTCTGCGTCTTGTTACCTTGATCCTAGTTCAATCTAATTCTTTCAATAATTTGTGTTGATTCTCGTATTCAATCAAGTGTGCTTATTTATCGCTTAAAAGTGAGACGTGTAACATTAACATGGATGGATGACAACAATTTAACAATGTTACAAACTTGAAATGTTAGATCATGAATAGGGTTGGTAACAGAAATTAAAATATCTTCATTTTTCGTCCCGTTAACTTGTGGGGCTCTAATCAAATCTTTGAAAACGTAAGATTCTAATTGAAATCCTCTCTCTCAAGGTGACGATTTTAGGGGCAAGGTTTATTTATTTTTATTTTTAATATTTTCTTTTTTATTGATATATAATTGCTTGTAGAGGTACCTTCAATATTCCACATAAGTTGAATTAATTAGGTTTTTATCTGATCCATTGGAGGCCTAAATCAATGTTTGGGTGTTTGGCTGATAACGCTAGTTCCTCTTTTCTTCTTTACATCAAGTGAAGGGTCTCACCATATCCACTTTTGCTTATACATTAATTAGCAATTACTTTTCTTACATTCTTATTTATTTATTTAGTCCCTGTTTGGTTTGCCTTAAAAACTTAATTAATTACATTAATCTTAACTAAAATATTTTATAAGACTCAAATTTTTATCAATTTTCAACCACTTTTCATCAAATTTTTTTTGAATCTATTAAAAATTTGATTTTTAACTACACATTAGAGCATATACAAATCAACTCAGACACAAGATAACTTCCAGAAGATGCTCTTGCTGATGTGTAATTCTGTTACAATTTTAGTTATAATTCTTACTTTTATGGAATATTTTTGTAACAGATTTAGCGTTGTATATATATTACTTGGTTGGTATCATTTTTATAAGGAAAATATGCAGAAGTTTTCATTTCATCTCTGTACTTTATCTTCCTCTTTTGTCCTTTCCAAAACATCCAGAATTTACATAGTATCAGAGCCATGACAGAGGATAACAACATCGTGACAAATGATAGTGGTTAGTGTATTTTGTACAATTATTTAGGCTTTTAAAGTAGATTATTTATGGAGATTTTTACGAATTATGGCTTAATTTTATTCGTATTGTATTTGTTAGGTGATGATCACTGAAAATGGCATAATTGGAGGGAAAAAAAAGAAGATGAAAATAGCTCAATTTCAAGAGATTCAAAGTTTGGGGGAATAAATTGCAATTATTAAAAAGTTGTGTCAGAATTCACGACAAAGATTCGAGAGTGATGTCAATCAATTGAATGAGAAAAGAAATCAAATGGGTAAAACATAGTCATCACACATCAATTTTTAGCCGAACAAATTATGCTCCAGATTTTTAGCATCAAATTGAAATCCATTTTTTCTCATAGTAATCTAGAAGAATTGTAGTCTTCATTGTACTTTGAATTGGCTCAATCGAACAATGAGAGATAAAGATATAACAAAAATACTGATGACCTATCGTGGCTATAGCCATACGTGCGCATGGTACAAATGCCATGCGTGTGCATGGACCTTTTGTAGGCCTGACCGAGGCTAAAAACACTATTCTTGCATATTTTGCACTTTTTTAATCTACAAGAAGCCGTCTTGAGCATAATTATCACATATTCTTTGATCAAGGTGAAGCTTAACAAGAGTTTTAGAGAGAATTAACACAAGAAGTTGAAGATTCAAGGCTCAAATCGAAAAAAAAAAAGTAAAAGAAATTGATTCGTCGAGCTCCTACATCTATTCTTTGAATTTGGTGATGACTTTTCATAACTCTGTGTAATTTCGATCAAATATGTTATGCTAAACTTCTTTTTTGTATTGGATGAATGATGAAACCATTGGTCATGTGTTTTTTATTTATTGAATTGATAGTTTGGTGAATTCTTGTGTTGGTAATTAAATAAACATTATTATTATGTCTTTGATTGCTTAGTTATCAATTATATAACTTGTATTGCAGTATTGAGATACTCACAATATGTTATAATATTGTGTAATGACACACGGGCAATGGGCGTGTGTGATCTTATGTGATATCGTGTGGTTGAATGCACTTTTTTGCGTATGAATATGGATTAGGAATAGGGTCGAGTCGTGCTTAAGATAAGTTTGGGGTTTATCTTGTTAAAAAAAGATTAAACAATATATGATTATTAATTGTTACGGACACTTGAACAACACTAACTACATGATTCGAGAATTAAAAATAGATGCCAATAGGTGGATTTTGAAAACCAATACATTCATTTCATAACTTGATAAAAACAACTCATTTGCATAATTAGTAGCTTAAGTTAGAATAATTACAAAAATCACTATCTCTTTTGTGTTATTACATAAAATTTGATAGAAATCGGAAAACTCTATTTAGCAATTATTCCTCGTGGAACGATAACTCAACTCATCAAATTATTACCTGTAAACGATCCCTTACGCTTGCAGGTTTTGTACAAACAGATAGCAACGTCATGACACAACCAAACTATAATCCATTTACCAACCTTGCAAATTTATATCGATTGGAGACCGTGGATAACCTTGGAACAGTTCTCGTCACCGAACTCTCACCACTATAAACTATGAAACCTGGGCATGAGCCATGCTGTGAGCTTTACGAGCTAAGAATAAAATTGGTTTTATCAATGGTATTCTGAAAAAACCCAAATTCTTGACGACCTTCTTTTGGAGCTATGGGAACTGACACGATTATGTCCTGTGTTACAACTCCATCAACCAACAATTTAGACCTAATGTGGCTTTTGTGGATAATGTAAATGATATGTAGACAGAGTTGTGGGAGCGATTTTCTGAGCAAAATGGTCCCTGGATTTATGAACTGAAGAAGGCATTATCGAATCCAACTCAAGAAGAAGACTCTTTGAGTATTTACTATAGTAGACTTAAAAGTTTATGGGATTGGTTCTTAGTCTATGACCCTCTACCTTAATGTACCTGTAGCAAACTAAAGTTGCTTTTAGATAGGTACCAATGCGATTGTGTGATATAATTTCTAATGGAACTGAACGAGTCTTATTTAAATGTTCGTGACCAGAATAGACCTTTTACATCTGTAACTAAGGTCTTCTCATACATTCAGCAACAAGAAAAACAATGGATAGACTTCACCTACATCTTTTGCAGAGTCTATTGCTCTAGTTGTATGAAAAATTTCTTGTCTCTATAAGTTTGTCAATTCACCTGACTCTAAAAAGGAAAGGCCATATTTTATATACTACAAAATTGCAGGTCACAACTTTGATTCTTATTTTAAGGTTGTTAGTTTTTAATGTAATTGGCAAATTTGTGAACAAAAAGGACTAGATTTAATATGATGTAAAAGTCAAAGAGTAAGTTACAAATATTATAAGTTGAGTTGTATTAGGTCTAGGGTTCGAGGATGGAAATAAGGAAAAAACGACGCCGCAATTTTGCTAGATGTCGCCCTGACCTTGCTCGAGCGGCAGAAACAGAAACATCGTCCCTCGCCTTTTGCCTTGCTCTCGTTCGAGTGACAACCTGTCACTCGCTTGATGTTACGCTCTCGCTCGAGCGAAAAGTTTTAATTCACATTTTAAAGGCTTTTTATCCTGCATATTCAATCCTAAACATACAGTATAAATACCAGCAAGTCTTTGAACGATTTTTTCTGAAGGTTGAACATTGAGAAGACACATACTACTTCACCAAATTCATCCATAGCTTTCAACCTTCATTTTTTGATTTGTTCTTGATAGTGAAAACATCAAATCCACTTAATCCAAATACCAAACTACTTACTTTCTAAACATCTGACAAAGTTTTGAAGATCAAAGGAAGGTAACTGGAGTTTCAGTTGTTGTTGAAGAATGCAGAGTTTTTCGTTTATCCATAGGAGATAGACGAATTCACAAAGTCGGGAGTTGGTGCAGAAGCACGCAATCTAGGAGGGCTTTGAAAATTTCAGTCAGGAGTTGGTGCAGGGATAAGCAATCCAGGAGGGCCGTGAGGTTTGTAGTCAGGAGGTCAGAAAGTATTAGTGGTAGTCGTGTTTGACGGACTATAAGTTTAACTTCGTTTATAGTAGATTTTTGACTAGTAAAGTGCTCAAAATTTTTACCTAGTTCGGGTTTTTCCGTGATCATTCTATGTGTTATTTACTGCTTTCATATAACTGCGGCATTTCAACATAGGAAAATTGTACTGATTTATTAATAATCTAGAGATAATTAAAAGTGACTTGTTGCTATTTAATTATTAGATTTTAATTCTGCATAATCACATGTTCATCCCTCCAGGTGTAATTTAGGTCAAACTTAGTAATTTCAATTGGTATAAAGCCACATTTCGATTCCAGACCCATAAATTAATCTAGATGAGTCAGTTACTATTAGTGCCTCTGTCTTTTGACGGAAGTAACTATGCATGCTGGAAGGTTTGAATGAGAGGGTTCATTAAATCCTTAGATGAGCGTATCTGGCTTAGTGTTATGAATGGTTGGGCCGCACCTAGTTCTACGATTAATAATGAAGTAAGTCCCACTCCCATTGCTAATTGGACAAGATCGAACTTAGATGAATGCAAC